ATTTTCAAACCAGAATTGCATTACTTCACTACAGTAACTCCACCAGTCTACAGATGTATGAGTTGACAGTTTCATCCCTCAATTACAGTCTTGTGGTCTCAAAGGCGAGACAACCAATGATTTATAAATAAAAGTAACTTCCATGACTGAAAATGGCACCTTTCTAGAAATGTTCCCTTAAAATCACTGACAGTGTACGTACACCTACGTCTCTTCTTTGTCTTTGGGATAAGGGACAAGTTAGGACAACACCATATGTTGTTTTTTTCGATATTTACATGCAGTATTGCATTTAGGACACTTTACTGATGATGAAAGAACACCATGCGATCGAAAAAATTTTATAGTTTCCTCGTTTTTTTCACAAAAACTCGCAATAAGCTCCATATAATTCAAGCGACACCCATCACAGACTTCCATGGTCAGAACTGAATTTGAATTTCGAAATATGAGACCCAAAATAAAAATAGAATATGATTGGGCCAAAAATACCACGAATTAAACCCAAAATCATTTTAATTGTTGCAAAAAAAAAGCGCTTTTGATTGGTCGTGTGACGTGTACGGGAATGCATGCTCGTGATGACTTATGCAGGAGACACGCAGTGTGAGAGGTGACGTAGGCAATAATGGCGGAAGATTAATGGAAGAAAATAAAGAAATTTTAGGGTATTTTTGCGTTTACACATTACAGTACTACCCTAATATATTATCATATTCTAATGAGACGTCTAATTATAAGATCATTTTCATCTATTACATTACCGTCACAAATGTATAATAACGGAGATAGCATATCCAAAATTTGGTAAATTTGCATAAACGCATCCCACTGTTAGAAAGTCAAAAATATATTTTTCTAGTGTATTTATGTGTGTTTAGACCGATTATGACCTTCATTTCAGTCGCAAATTGGCTGGGTGTTTTTTATAGATTTTTTTTTCGTGGGACGTTTTCCGAAAAATAGAATGGCTAAGCAAATACAAAATACACCAAAAAACATGAACCAAACTTAACCTAACCTAACTGACTCTCACCATATAATGGAATCACCTATTTCTTACCTTATTGCCGTCTCTTCTTTGTCTTTGGGATAAGGGACGAGTTAGGACAACGCCACATATGTTGGTTTTTGCGATATGTACATTCAGTCTAGCACTTATGACACTTTACTGGGGTCGGGAGAACACCATGCGATCGAAAAAATGCTAGAGTGTCTTCGGTTTTTTTTTCCAAAAACTCGCAATCAGCTCCATATAATTTAAGTGACACCCATCAAAGACTTCCATGGTCGGAAATGAATATGAATTTGGAAATATGAGATCCAAAATAAAATTCGATTTTCATTGTGCTAAAAATACCGCAAATTTAACCAAAAATTATTTTAATTGGGTGCAAAAAAAAAAGAACTTGTGATCGGCCGTGTGACGTGTACGGGAACGCATGAGCGTGATGATTTATGAAGGAGACACGCAGTGTGGGAGGTGAGGTAGGCGATAATGACGGCAGATTAATGGAAGAAAATAGAAAATTTTTTGGATATGCTGTCTCCGTTATTATACATTTGCGACGGTAATGTAATTCCTGCAGATGAAAATTATCTTATAATTAGACGTCTTATTCGAATATGATAATAGATTAGTGGTAGGAATGTGGAGGTGTGAAAATGCAATAATACACCACACATTTCTAGGCATAAATTTCTGTACCCACCATGTTGCCAGAGTAACTTTTCTCGTCTTCTCCTCCTATTTTTGACATGACAACCAATGATCTTCAAGTATCGTGTCATGTGACTTGGCTGGCCAATCATTTTGAAGGCTCATGATGGCGTGTGAAAAATGCTCTCTTTTATCTAGCTGTTATTCAGCGAGTGGTAAAGGTGTAGAAGAGGGTGACCACCAGAAGGAATTGTCCGAATTGGTAGAAATATTTTCGACACACTAATATGATATTAAGCAAAAATGGAAATGACAGTGCATAGAACCTAATAGAACCTGACCTAACATACCTAACCTCTGGGTTTGTTAGGTCAGGTTCTATTAGGTTTTATGCATTATCCTGTTAATTAGTGTTAAACAACATCAGCAACGATGAGGAGGAGTACGTGGATGCGTTCACCATCATTTAGGACATGTCTCTTAAGAACATAAGAATGGAGGAAACTGCGGCGGGCCCATTGGCCCATACTGGGCAGTCCTATTTACATTCAACCCCAATTGTTCATATATCCATCCAACCTATGTCCATTCACCCACTACTCTATTTCCAAACCAATATTTACCTATCTCGCGCCTAAACTTAAATTTGTCTGATTTAAAACTATTGCTATGAGTTCTTTTCTAGTTGGATAGTTTGAGTACCTTTGTTTAGCCCTGACTTCCCTTTATATACCTCGATCATATCGCCCCTCACTCTACGTCTCTCGAGGTAGTGCAAATTAAGATGCTTTAACCTGTCTGCACTCAAGGTTCTTAATGCCTGGGATTAGTCTTGTTATTCTCCTCTGAATTTTTTCAAGGGATTCTATATCCATTCTGTAGTAAGGTGACCAGAAATGAACTGCGTAATCCAAGTGAGGTCTCTCTCTCAGATAACCTACAGCCAACAAGTGAGCTGTAGGGATTCAGTGAGGTAAAGAACAAAAATGGCGACGGGAAGAGAATTGAGAAGCAGGATGGAGTAAATAAAAAGATTGTCAGGTTCTATTAGGTTCTATGTATGGTCATTTCCATTTCTGTTTTATATAATTTCATTTTCATTATACTGTGCAGTATAACAAAATAAATACAAAATAATGCATAGAACCTAATAAAACCTGACCTAACATACCCAACCTATGGGTATGTAAGGTCAGGTTCTATTAGGTTCTATGCATTGTCGTTCCCATTTTTGTGTTTAATATCATGATACCCGTATTAGTGTGCAGATAAAATTCAACCAATTTGGACAATTCCTTCTGGTGGTCACCCTCTTCTACACCTTTACCCTGCACCTCTCTCCTTATCCCCTGCACACCTCTCCTTGTCCCCTGCACCCCTCTCCTTGTCCCCTGCACACCTCTCCTTGTCCCCTGCACACCTCTCCTTGTCCCCTGCACACCCCCTTGTCCCCTGCACCCTCTCCTTGTCCCCTGCACACCTCTCCTTGTCCCCTGCACACTCTCCTGTCCCCTGCACACCTCCTTGTCCCCTGCACACCCCTCCTTGTCCCCTGCACACCCCCTCCTTGTCCCCTGCACACCTTGTCCCCTGCACACCCTCCTTGTCCCCTGCACACCTCTGTCCTGCACACTCCTCCTTGTCCCTGCACACCTTGTCCCCTGCACACCTGCACACCTGTCCCCTGCACCTCTCCTTGTCCCCTGCACCTCTCCTTGTCCCCTGTCCCCTGCACTCCTTGTCCCTGCACCCCTGTCCCCCTGCACCTCTCCTTGTCCCCTGTCCCCTGCACACCTTGTCCCCTGCACACCTCTCCTTGTCCCCTCTCTCCTTGTCCCCTGCACCTCTCCTTGTCCCCTGCACACCTCTCCTTGTCCCCTCTCCTTGTCCCCTGCACACCTCTCCTTGTCCCCTGCACCTCTCCTTGTCCCCTGCACCTCTCCTTGTCCCTGCCCTCCTTGTCCCTGCACCCCTCTCCTTGTCCCTCCCCCTGTCCCCACCCCTCTCCTTGTCCCCTGCACCCTCTCCTTGTCCCCCTGCACCCCCTCCTTGTCCCCTGCACCCCTCTCCTTGTCCCCTGCACCCCTCTCCTTGTCCCCTGCACCCCCTCTCCTTGTCCCCCTCTCTCCTGTCCCCTGCCCCCTCTCCTTGTCCCCTGCCCCCCTGTCCCCTGCACCCTCCCCTCCTCCTTGTCCCCTGCACCCCTCTCCTTGTCCCCTGCACCCCTCTCCTTGTCCCCTGCACCCCTCTCCTGTCCCCTGCACCCCCCTCTCCTTGTCCCTGCACCCTCCTCCCTCCTGTCCCTACCTCTCCTTGTCCCCCTGTCCCCCTCTCCTTGTCCCCTGCACCTCTCCTTGTCCCCTGCACCCCTCCTCTCTCCTGTCCCCTGCACTCTCTCCCTCCTGTCCCCTCTCCTTGTGCACACCTCTCCTTGTCCCCTGCACACTCTCCTTGTCCCCTGCACACCTCTCCCTGTCCTTGTCCTCCTGTCCCCCTGCACATGTCCCCTGCACCCCTCCTTGTCCCCTGCACACTTCTCCTTGTCCCCTGCACCCTCCCCCTGCATCTCCTTGCACCTCTCCTGTCTCACCCTTGTCCCCTGCACTCCCCTCCTCCTGCCTCCCCTGTCCCCTGCACCTCCTCCCCTCCTTGTCCCCTGCACACCTCTCCTTGTCCCCTGCACACCTCCTTGTCCCTCCTTGTCCCCTCTCTCTCCTTATTCCTGCACCTCTCTCCTTGTCCCCCCCTGCACCTGTCTCCTTATCCCCTGCACCTGTCTCCTTATCCTGCTCCCTTATCCCCTGCACACCTCTCCTTATCCCCTGCACCTCTCTCCTTATCCCCTGCACACCTCTTCTTATCCCCTGCACCTCTCTCCTTCTCCCCTGCACACCTCTCCTTATCCGCTGCACCTCTCTACTTGATCCCAGCACTATTGTTACCCCCAGCTCTCTCCTGGATTCAAACTTTTAATATGTCGTTACAGTATAGTACTTCTGATCCTGTCTTTTTCCCAGACTCAGATTCCCTTGATTACTCTTCCTTCTTACCATAGTTCTTCTTAAACTTCCCACTAACTATTTCTTGATGCCAGTTGTGTACCACCCCCTCCCCCAGGCAGCCAGCATCCCAAAGTTGTTGCTGTTGTTTTTTGTTTTGTTTTATAGTTGACCCCAGTTTTTTTTTTTTTTTTTAAACTTCTTGAAGCTATGTGAAACCCCAGGTTTAATTTATTCAGGCTTCCACATGACCCATATCTCATTAAAGTCTACCTTCATATTTAACTTTTCTGTAAACTTCCTCTGACATGTTTTAACCTCTTACACATTTATCTTTGCAGGTGAAGAAGTGGGGCAGCGGGGAATACTGGGGCTTAGGGAATGAGCATGACCCTGTTTGGCTGCTGACGGAGAAGCAGAAGAAGATTCAGAATGACCTCATAGAAGTCTGCAGGGTTAAGATCAGACCCAATGCGGTAGGTTGACTTGACGGACTTCTCAAAAATCTTGTTTAATGTAACATGAAGAAATTCTTTTAGGCTCAGAAATTATAATACTGTATATAATGTACAGTACTGTACTGTACTGTATAATTATCTACTGTACTGTTCAATTCATTATAAACCAGATCTACTAAATTTGAACCTTTGTGTTTATATATCTAACTTACCAGTGTTCACCATTCATTGTGTACAGTTTAGATTTTACACTATTACTGTACAGTATTAGATTTTATACTATTTTATGAGGCTACTTTGGCCGAGTGGATATAGTGTTTATAGTGAGTTTTGTCAGACCAAACCAAGCCAGTAGAAAAACATACATACATATCAGTAACTATGAAGGAATTGGTTATTGTTTGTAAAAGGTGAGGCTCCATTATTGCCTCAGGCTATTCTAGATACTACACATGAACCATGATCACTGTCTATATATGTCATCAGTTCTCTGGTATGGAAGCTTTGATCTTGGCGGGAGGTGTAATGATTGTTTATCAGACCAGAGCGTCCAGCCGAGGGAACAACAACACATATAGCAGTAACTAGATGAGCAGATGTACACTCACTTAAGTCGACCCACTCTACAGTAATTAAATGAGTTAAAGACCTGACCCAACAAAGGTCATGGTCACGAAGGAAAATGGAGTTCTCGCCACCTTGTGATGTGAGAACATGCGACATGATCTTGTTAATTCAAGAAACTGCCCTCCAGCTAGGAAGCCGACACCTGACCAAACACACCGGCCAGACACACCCAGGGTGGTAATAATTAGGAAGCATTACCGACCAGCATACCACAATAAGCGACATGACCCTGTGACCTACCAAGCACTCCGCACCTGATCAAACACCTGTTCAGACTCGCCCAGATTAGTGATAATTAGGAGACGACATCTACCAGCCCGAGACCTCCAATAAAAGAGGCCTACAGCTCATTCCAGGGGTCAGACAGACAGGGAGAAACAGAACCCAGAGCCAGACGGAGTCACACTCGTCACAAGTCGAGGTCGGGAGGGGGACTAAACTTCCCAGCACTGAATCCCCAGCTGGCAGAGTCTCCCACAGGAGATAGTCCAGTGCCCGCCGGGATCACTTGCCCCAGCAGTACCAGGCCCTGCAGTTGGAGTCCCCAGCTGCTGGTCCTCCCTCAAGTCACATGTGAGTTCTTGTCAGTGCGATCCATAGGACGAGTTACTTACAGTGGGAAGTGCATCCATTTCCTGTTTATGTCCGGGAGTCACTATCTGGTAGCGTCAATACAAAATAATGATCTATTAATGTGTCCATGCCACTCGGTTCACTAATAAATAGCTGTACTTAGAATTGTTTTTTAGCAGATTCCCCCTAAGAGCGTATACCAAGTTAAATAACTATTTGCCCACGCTACCAACTTTCTTCACTTTACAACCCTCCTATAAATTCTTCCTGTACTTTCTACCTGAGATCCCACTCATTACATTCCTGTCTCCCTAAGGCTCACTAGTTTGATCCTGGAGAATTCCTAGTCCACCCAGCTTTAAATGGGTACCTTTTGCAGTTTAAGAAGTGAAGGAAGTCATGTGAAGTGTCACTTAAAAGCGGTGTTTAAACTTCAAATGCATCAATTAAATTGGTCACAAATACTCAGATTGCCATACCAAATTTTTGTTAAGTCAGCATTAAAGACATAAGGAATGAATTACCCATGGCCGTTAAACTTTAGGACTGGAGGCTTTAACAGGTTCTGATCAACAATTACTGTAATGACTTTCTTTAATACAAAAATGACTGCAGTTTTGAATGGATATCATGTACTTCACAACAGGCAAAAACTGTTATCATAGATTTGACTGGGGCATTCCCATACATCAACCAAGTACAAATTTAACTACACTTAAATTTATTTGAAGCTTTCAACATATAACACACTGAATATTGAATGCTTCAGCTACTGGTATGTATAGAGTATATCACTTATTGCTACTCATACATGTTGCATCATAATTTTAGAGTTACGATACACGGAAAGATTACTAGAATATATAGAAAATGGACCGTACCTTTCACTACAGAAAAAATCTCTCTAGGGGTAACTAGTTCGTTTCACACGTTTTATAGACGACGGAGCATAATAGGAATAAGTATGGGTGTGAAAATATTATCAGTCCAACTGTGTCCATGACATACACACTATGCTGGTCAGGCTCACTGGCCTATAATTATTTGTGGAGTGGCTATCTCTCTGAGTATAGGGCTCACATAAGCCATTTTTCAGTTGCTGGGAATATTTTGCTCATCCAGGCATCTGCAGAACCAGATTTTAAGGGCTCAGCAAGCTCATTTTACAACTCTCTTAGCTTTCAAGGATGCATGCTGTAAGGGCCTGGGCTCTTATGAACTTTTAACTTTGACAATTTGTTTCTAATACTCTGAGAACATAATGTGAGTCAGTGCTGTGTCAAACCATTTTTTCTGAAATGCGAGTTTGTTTGCATCCTTTTTTGTGAACATCGAGGAAAAGAATTTGTTTAACGTTAACACTTTGTCCTGATTCGAGTCTGCGTAAGTACCATGTTTTTCAGATGGTCTCACACTTGACTGTATCAACCTCATGCCCCCCAAGGGAGGCACACCCCCTCAGTTTGAGTACCAATGACCTAGACCAATGGATTTGATGATCCTTATTTCACATTGCAACCATCATTTACATTTCCTATCCTGTCATTACTAACCTTAAACATAGATGTTGAACAAATATTCTCAAATGTCAAACTCGTTAACATGAAGACCAGAAACAAACTCGACTTGTACCATAGCATCAGTACCTCCCCGTAATTATTATATTGCATCTGAAATGGTACAGAGCAAAGGAGACTGGGCAAAAATCATAATGTGAATTTGTAGTGTTACATACAGTACAGTCAACCCTCACTTTACGCGGTTAATGTAACCCGCAGGGTCCCGCGGAAAGTGAGGAACGCGTAAAGTGAATAACATAACATATGGGCTTAATTGAAATAGAGTCCGGGCTGACCCCCAAACTCCACTTTTTGACGACACACAACTATGTTGTAGTAAAAATTTTATCTTAACTTTATGATGGTACGAAAAAACAAGTAATATACAGTAGAAGAGGTTAGGTTAGGAAAAATAAAGGTTAACATAGGAAAAATAAAGGTTAGGTTAGGAAAACTAAAAGTTATGTGGAACACTTATGTTAGTAGAAGAGATGGGTCGGCGTACGGGGATGGAGGCTGGTTCCGAGGCAGAGGGCAGGCTACTGGCCCTCAGGTGAATCACCATTACTAGGTGCATCACCATCACTGTCACTTATAGTTGTCTGGGCTTCCCTGACAAATCCCTCAAAGTCATCTTCACTGTCACTATCACTGGCTTGGGCTGGCTGTGGTGGGTTGCGGGCGAAGAAATCTGTTATGCTTTGCTGACGGCTGGTGTTGATGTTGTCGTGATACACCTTGATGTAGGCTCCATAGTCTGCAACAGCTGGGTAGTGAAGATTTCATACCTGTTTGCGTCAGGGTCATCGGAAAGGAGGAGCTTGGCTTTCTCGATACACTCGATGGCACCCCTAACATTACTATGGGATAAGTGTTGTTCTTCTTGGGATGACGCACCACCTGCCTCTTCACTGACGTCGTCATCATCATCTACCATCTCCTTGGTAGTCACATCAGGTTCCATTATCACCTCCAGGATGTCGTCGTTGGTGGTCTCGGAGAAGCCTGGAACTGTAACAGTCTGCGCAGCTTCTCTGGCAAGGTCCACTGCTACTGCAACAGTCTGAACCTCACCAGTCACAGATTGACTCCTCCTCTCACCTGGTATTCCATGCAACACATGTCTCCATGCGTGACGAATTGTAGCAATAGATAGCTGATCCCATGACTCCACCAAGAAGTCCACAGCTTTCTTGATGTTAAATACTCTCCAGAATTGTTTGAACAGTATTTTTTGCTGTGCCAACTGTTGATCCTCATCTTCTTCGCTCTTGCTATCGGTGGTGGTGTCACTCAGGTTACGCAACTCTTCCCTGGTGTTGGTGTAGTCGTTCAGGAGTTTTAATTTTTTCGTAGAGAATGCAGCTTTTACATTACAGATTAACTCTTGGTCCATGGGCTGTAATATAGACGTAGTGTTAGGAGGAAGGAAGACCACTTTTACGTTGGGGTGACGATCTAACAGTAGGGGCGAGTGTCCTGGTGCATTGTCCAGCAGCAACAAAATCTTGAATGGCACATTCTGTCGCTCACAGAATTTCTTTACATCGGGAACAAAACAGTCATCAAACCAGGAGAGGGACAGTGTAGAGAACATCCACGCCTTACGTGCGGTCAGCCAGTGGACATTTAGCTTGCTCATGTCCATGGTTTTGTAGGCGTGCGGCTTGCGTGCTGTGTGGATCACCGATAACTTGAGCTTACTGGTACCTGAGGCATTGGTGGTAAACAGGACGGTGATGCGTTCCTTCTACATCTTCCGGCCCCGAATCTTGCTGGCATTCTTTACAACGAAGGACTTGGAAGGTAGCTTTTTCCAGAAAAGACCAGATTCGTCCATGTTAAACACCTGGTCGTCGTATGTACTGTCCTTCCTCCATAATCTCATGTAAAAACGGAGGAAATTCCCTTGCCGCAGCACTGTCAGCATCTTCACCACCAATGTTTATATTGGTGATCTTGTTCCGGATCTTAAACCTCTGTAACCACCCAGAGGAAGCATTAAAGGGTTTGGACTCTGTAATTCCCCTCTTTCGTGCCACTGCGATGTACAGTTCACGTGAGTACTCCTTAACAGAGCGCGTGTCGACCGCCATGTTCCATCGCGCCTGACGCACCAAGTACCTCACAAGTAATTTTTCTGTCTTGAGAAGCACCTGGTTGTGAAAATACTTGATCATAGAAGCACCTGTAGACTTTGTGATCTTCATGTGCTCCTTTATCTTGGCTGCATCCTTCTTTATTGTTCGAATCGTAGATTCATTCACACCATGCTGGCGCGCCAAATCAACCTGCCTTGTTCCTTTCTCCAACTCTTGGATGATGGTATACTTCACCTCGTAGCTTAAGGAACGTCGTGTCTTCTTTGGCTTAGTGCCGCTGGGTCCAGGTAAGGAAAGGTTTCTCTCTGGGGGTGGTGGTCCGGCGGAAGCCATTTTAGAGAACAATGGATGCACGTTTACACTGTCTGGCGTGGAGGGATGAAACTGGCGCGGCTAGGTCAAGGATCGTCTTTCCTCCCTCCCTCCCCCAGGTGGACACGTCATAATACTTTAAGCCAATTACAGCTAGCAGCAGAGGGGGGTAGGGATGCATTGCCAATCACAGTCCGATACGTCATATGACGTCAGTGATAACGCAACAAAGACACACACTGCGCAACCTTACCGCGCAGCTTGCCCAAGCGGAGGGAGGAGGAGGGAGAGGCGAGAGCACAGGCAGGCAGGCGGGTGGGGCGAATCTAAAAATAGCGTCGCGCCGGACACTCTCCGCGTAATGGGGTTCACGCACCGCGTAATGTGAGCATGTTAGGTTCTGGCAAGGCACCGCGTTAACGTGCAAACGCGGAATGTGGGACCGCGTAAAGTGAGGGTTGACTGTATATTACATGTGATTTCAGGAGCAGTAAGAATGTAAATACAGTACTGTTAGTTAGGCTTGGAGATTGCTGGCCACTTTGCCTTTAGGCTATTTCGGCCGGACGGACAGTACTGTATTTCATTTGTGTATTTATATGCAAACTTGCTGTGAATTGTAGAATTGGTTAAGCAGAGTTTTGTTTCAACTTCACTGGTCTCCATGTCTTGTAAAATAATTTACGTTTCCCCAGAAATTTTACATTTTTCTCGAACATGAAGTGACAGTTTAAAACAAAAAAATTTAGGAGGGTGTTTGCGGAACAGATGACAACATTGCTATACATGATACTGGTGCCAACTCTCTCTTCCATTTTCTTGGCTGCCTTCCTTATTCGTGCTAGTGCCAATTTAGCCAGCGGGGTGGACATAGAGTACCGGATGAAGAATCTTTTCAAAATAAGACGACTCCAGGCAGGAACAAAGGTGTCGGCAGATTCCATTACTGAACTTCAGTAAGCAGACGACTTCATCCTTGTCATTCACACTGAACGCGACCTACAGATCCTGAACACCTATGCAGATGCGTATGCATACTTCGGCTTAAAGGTGAATGTGTGTAAGACTCGGATTCTCTTGCAGCCTGCCCCTGGTTCAGCCTCACCTCCACCATCCATCCAGCTTAATGGTACTACCCTCTCTAATATTACCCACTTTCAGTATCTGGGCTCCCACCTGTCCACCACCGCAGACATCGATAAAGAGATTCAACATCAGATCAGATGTGCATCTCAAGCCTTTGGCAGACTCCGTACCCGTGTCTTCAGCTGTAGGGAGCTGAAATTATCTACAAAGTTGCACGTATATCAAACAGTGGTCCTCCCCACCCTGCCATATGGCAGTGAGACGGGTTACATACAGGGGGCACCTCAATGCACTTGAAAACTTTCACCAACGTAGTCTACGTTCCATCCTCCGAGAACAAATGCCATTAATCTCGCTGACATCAACTGGCCATGTTACCCGCATGAATGACAGTAGACTGCCAAAGCAGCTACTTTGCAGTCATCTAACACATAGTAAACGTAACGCTGGCGGGCAACTGAAAAGGTATAAGTATAGTTTTAAGACAAACCTGAAAACTCCCAAATCAGCCCCCTCACCTGGAAGACAATTACTCCACACCGTAATGCTTGGAGGAGCACCACACAAGGTGTCAATACTTTCGAATTAGCCCGACTGCAAACCGAGGCAGACAAGCGCCGGAAAGACGCTGCCGCCACCCTTCCCTCGCTAGGTGGAGCCATGCACATGTGTAACATCTGTGAATGACTCTCCCGGTCCCGTTTCGGCCTCTTTAGTCACCTTAAAACTCGCCAACTTTGGTAACATCTTTAATAACTCATATCATTGTATCATAGCTAGATGATCGTCATACTCGATTCCGAGTGACAACAAAGTAGTAGTAGTACATGATACTTGTCAACGGTGTGTAACAGAGAAATGACCTAACATCCCAGGTGACAAGCAAGCCAACCAGTGGCAAAGAGGTTAAGTATAATTTGGTGTTCAAGTTCTTCAAACCAAGTGTTTTGGTTGCCAAAGAGCAAAAAAATTATTTTTTTATATACTGTATTAAATTTAATTTATGGACATACTGGTAGCTTATAGATTGCATGTTGTTGTTCATTTAACAAGTTGGTAAATATTTGTGAAATACAGGTGCATGAATAAAATGACCCAGCAAAATTAAATATAGTACCTAAATATTACAATGAATGTGACAGTAAAGGTAACTATTAATTGTTATGTTGTAAGCAACATGTTAAAGTACATTAATACTGTAACTTGTTTCTTTGTAACAGGCTCAGTGTGATCGAGAATATCAGTATCCTAGAAAGTCCTTGGATGCTTTAGCTGAGCTTGGACTCCTTGGTCTCATTGTGCCTGAGGAGTTGGGAGGTTTAGGGGAGAACCATGTGTGCGTTGCCATGGTGTGTGAGACTATTGCCCGCTATGGCTGCCCTTCTACTGCGATGGTTTTTAGTGAGTATTATTATAGGACAGACATCACCACCTGTTAGTAGTAACACTTGATATGACATTGTATTGCAAGTACAGTTTTATATTACAGTTACAAGACAATATATCTATTCCCACCACTTTATTGTGATTTGATATTTGGCATGTTTACATATACAGTGGTCCCTCGATTAATGAACGGTCCAATTAACGAAATTTCGGATAACGAATTAGCTTCCATAAGGATTTTCAATTCCATTAATGAACAAAACTTCGATTAACGAAAGCCTTACGAGAAACACGCTTTGTTGTACGCATCAGCTGATCGGTTAGTCCGCCAATACAGTAATTGGTTCTATGTTTACATTCGTTTCCAGTGGAGTAAATATCAAGAAAGTTGTGCTCCTGAATATTTTTGCATTTTTTATATTATAATTATGGTTCATTCTAATTTAGTTAACATATTGATAATACATACAGTACGGGGAACAGTTTTTGTGTGCCCATCAGCTGATCGAATCACCCACCAACGCTTCTCGGTTTAACTTTGTTTACAGTGGAGTGAATATAGTTTGTTGGTCTCTTGAATATTTTTTTCAATTTTACATTGAACTTAGGTACTGGTTATTCTGAAATTTAGTTAACATATTGATAATATACAGTGCAGAAATTATAATGAAACATGAAGAAGGCTTTAGAACCAATGCACTCTGTGAAGAATATGGCATGTCATCATCGACTGCCTCTACAGTCAGCTGTTTGATATGTAAACAAAGCTGCCTGGAATACAACATACACACCTCAAAGTAAGTTAAAATATAGTATTCTATTGTTTTTTATTTATTATTATACAGTATACTGTACAGTACTGTGTTTAGTTTATATTTAATGGTTTGTTAATTCTATTACCGGTATACAGTACTTTGTATGTACTTTTTCTGTGAGTTGGAACCAATTACTCATTATCCCATTGAAATAGTATATTCAGTTAACAAAATTTTCGGTTAACGAACGACTCTTTGGAACCAATTGTGTTCGTTAACCGAGGGACCTCTGTAATTGTATGTTCCCACCATTTTGTGGTGACTCAGAATATGAGTGTATCCTTTATCTTTTATCCTCTTCGCCAATGATCGGCTTGTTAGGCGCTTGGGCAATCGGTCACGTCTCTGATTACTTATCCTTTTCATTTATCTTCTTCACTAAAAGATCGGCTCGCTAGCCGCCCGAGCGATCGGTCACGTCTCTCACGCACTGTTGGCAAATACTGGGCATGCACCAGCTCCTGAATGTACCTGAACCCGCTCCAGTGTTGGTCAAGCCTTGTCTTGAAAGAGCTCACACTCGGTGCCATCACAACACTCTCTGGTAGATTGTTCCAAGAGTTTACAACCCTCACTCCGAAAAAGTTTGCCCTCGCGGTTTTCTGGGCTTGCGGCTTCTTCATTCTTGAGCTGTGACCCCTTGTGGGGCGAGTGTCCGCCAGCTCCAAGTACGGACACTCAACTGAGTAGTTCCCCCTGAGATGCTTATACACCTCAACTAGGTCCCCCCTTGCCTGTCTGTAGTACTGTATAAGCTAGGCAAGTTCAGGTGCTCCAATTTCTCAGGGTAGCTGAGGTGCCAAAGTGCAGGCACCAGTCTGGTGGCCCTCCTTTGAACATTTTCAACCAACTGACAGTCCCTAGCATATCTCGGGGACCAGATGGGGAAGCACTTCACTCCTGAAGATTGTTACGAGGGACGGACCATCTAGATGTCTGAACCACCCTCTTATAAGACCCAATAATTTATTTGCCTGATTTACCTTCTTCTCGCAATGGCCCGAGAACTTCAGCTCATTGTCAACATACTCACCTAGGTCCTTCTCACACACAGTCTCAACTAGTGCAGTTTCTTCATCCCGTTGGGACATATGATACGCCTCCTTACCGTTGGTACGCCCCAGGTGCATCCTCTTACACTTCGTGACATTGAATCTCAGCAGCCATTTCTTTGACCATTCCTGGAGCCCACACAGGTCCTTCTGCAGTTCTTCACAGTCCGCTTGGTTCTTAATTTCCCAAAATAACTTGGCGTCATCGGCAAACATTTGTATGGAGGAGTGTACAACGTCAGGTATGTCATTTATGAAACAAACAAACAACAGCAGGCCCAATACACTGCCCTGCGGTACCCCACTTGTGACAGGTACAGTTGACGATTCCATGCCATTAGTCACCACACACTGCTTACAGTCATGTAGAAAGTCTTCTATCTACGCTAGGACATTTCCCCGAATTCCGTACCCTTCCAGTTTGATTTTCAGCCTTTCGTGGGGTACACTGTCGAAAGCCTTGGCAAAATCTAGGTAAATATTGTCGATATTACCACCCCATTCCAAAATATGGGTCCAAATATCCAATACCTTGAGCAATTGTGTTAAGCAGGAGATCACTGTACTGTATTGGCGGACTAGCCGATCAGCTGATGCGCACAACAAAGCGTGTTTCTCGTAAGGCTGTCGTTAATTGAAGTTTTGTTTGATAATGGGACTGAAAATCCTTATGGGAGCTAATTCGTTAACCGAAATTCCGTTAATTGAACCGTTCATTAATCGAAGGACCACTGTACTGGAGAGAATGTGCTCGAGTTCCAATATAAACTACTATTGCAAAAAAAACTATATATATACAGTATATATATTCTCAGCACCCGCTATGCAGTGGGAGTAGTAGCCATGTTGTTTATCTTCCTGTCATCAGGGGAACAGAGATGGCTTGATTTCTGATATTTCTATCTTGATCTTCATACTTATGACATGCCTGCGTGCCAACTATTGTTGTTACTTAGTAGGAGACATTTGGTTGCTCCACAATCAGAGATGAATGAGTTTGCCCATTGGAGTGAGCCATCTTCTTGAAGTATAGAATCCTTGGCTTCACTCAGACTTTTTGCAAGCAAGAATAACCACTGGCCAAGTACTGTACTAACCCAAAGAAGTAATCAAATTGATTCGTGTGATATGGTGCCCTCTGAATACAGACCTTAATTTCATTATCTTTACAGTTGTCAAGAACCAGGTCCAGATTTCTTTCATGGTGTCATAGTTACTGATGATATTCTGTAGACCTGTGTGTACAGTATAGTCCATCTGGTGGAACAAAGTCTTCAGCCTAAATACTTCTTTTCATTTGTTGACATGACATTTATAGCTTCTTAGGGTTAGGTTAGTATGGTTCATAGTTATTTGTGAAAGATTAACATTTTAGGTTTAGATTTGGCCGGGAATGTTCTAGGTCTGTGAGTCGTGAACTGAACAGATGATGCAAGCTAGGTGACAAAGTGGTTGCGAGATACCCAATACTGTACATAAATGTACTACAGTATATTATGTTGTGTGAAATAAGTATGATTATTATTGTTATTGGTGCTGGTGTTATTATTATTATTACACTATTGTTGTTATAGTACTTGATATTAGTATTATGATTAGTACAAATTATGATCAGTGTACCAGAGTTAATGTTCCTTAGATTTCTTGGAGTTTTCTATTTCCCGAGAATCAGGAATATTTATTAAAAGTGGAAAAATCTGAAACTATTGTTCATGATTTTTTTTTTCAGTAGTCAGCTAAGCAATAGCAATAGGGCTAAGCAATAGGTAGATTTCGTTTATAGGAGACAGCTTCACATATAGAATGCAGGCTGATTTTTTTTGCCATGTTTTCAGAAAAAAAGTGCTTCTTATATGCCATAAAATACGGTGTTTTACTGTACATTGGTACAATACACAAAGAAGTGTGTGTTATGTTTTGCGGTGTCTCAATATAACAACTCTGTACATTAATTTTCTTTTACTTCATTAGCCATGCATATAGGAGCTGTTTCTACTCTGCTCTTCCGTCACCATAACAACCCCAAAATTAAGGACATTCTATCACGCCTGGATAAGGAGAAGCTTGTTGGTACTCTCTGCTACTCAGATCCTGCTACTGGTAAGTTTCTCTCATTTTCTAAATTAGTAAATTAACTTTGTGGTCTTTCCTTTGCACTTGGTAATTTTTTTTTTTTTGTCAATCCATCATTCATATCGACAGATAGATGCAGATGTGAAATGTTTACCATAAATTTAAAACTAACATTAATTCCCATGCATTATGTGAACACACACTGAAAAAAATATATATCAAATGCAATTACTCTTGGTTTCTCCATCGATTGGAATAAATTCTGGACTCGCTAAATGAGAATCAGGATCATTATCACTGATCTACACATTGCTTAAAAAAAAGGCCCCTTCAATTTTGCCTTTGATATCCATTCATCTTTTAAAAGCATTATGTCTCTCTCATGGACTCAGCCCTGAATAACTCTATACTGTCGAATCTTTTCACCTGCCCCATTAGAAACAGTGTATAATATTTTTCAGAAATTTATGCATGAACACATGTTCATCCATAGATAGATATTTAGTAAAATGATCATACAATTTACATTGATTCAGAGTGTACAGTACATTGCAAATATACAAGAACACCGTGAAAAGTGAGTAGGTTATGGTCTGTGAAGGACTTGTTCATAAGGTAGTTGTTTGGCACCTGAAAGCTGTTTTTCGACAGGTACAATGTAATTTTTGAGGTTTAGGTTTTGAACTGCCTCACAAAACCCCAATTTTGCTAAGGTTTAACCTATAGGTGTACAATAAAGATATGCCTACACCTGTGACTTTTGTCATGCTCTACCTATCATAAATCATTAAATTACAATTTTTTTGTGTTTTCAGCAAATTCATTATAAATATGCATTGCACTGTCACTAATTAGAACAACCTCTTCAAACAAATTTTTTCTGCAATCTCTAGGAAGTGTTAAATTCTGTTTATTCAGTACATATCACATTCCCATGCATAAATATAGCTTTATTAAACTTATTTTGTTGTTTAATAAGAAGTAAGAGAATAAAAGAAAAAAAATCATGCTTCTGTGTTCTGGCAGCCTGTTGTGATCAACTGTTTGTTATTGCCTAGCACTGTTAATATGTACAGTCGGCAAAAAATTATTCTGCGCCCCTGGGTGCAATGGCTCTCGCAACAAACACTGCGAGACTGATGCCATGTATTGATAAGGTTGGAATCTCTGATTGTATGATTCATTGTAAAACTAATGTGCTGTTATTCCTTATATCATGTGTAGTAACCACAGAGAAATTATCAGGAATACATATAAAACCCATAGCACTTAAACCAGATAATGTAATAGAATTATATACTGTAGTACTATGCATACGGTAGGAATGGCAGGCACTCTAGAAACTGAGGTGCTGTATAGGAATTTCACATACTATGAGATACAACGAAATTGTGTGAATACTCATGTTTATAACCACTATCCGAGAAAGTGATGAGAAGTGGTTTAATACAAGACCTCAACCAGAAAAAAAAACGAAACACTTGTAACGTAGGAAAGTTATACAATATTACGCACAGGTAACTGAGCTACTGGAAAGATGCGAGTTAAGAAACGAGCTGTAGCTCTTTAATATGTCACAATATATGATAAGAATAGGGGGGTTGATCAGGGGGGTAACTGGTAGTAAAATTCACAAAGCAAAAACATTGTCAGTGTTATTTAACACAGTGTAGCAAAGAATTTCGCCAGAGGAAAAATGATCGTTTAAAAGAATGTAATGAATCTGTTAGAAACGGGGCAGTTTCGATCTGCAAAGGGCAGACCATCAGAGCATGCAGTAGGAGTTTTAATGGCAATTGGTATTGATATTAATTCTATCATTTTATAAATATAGTTATTTGATAACTGCTCTATTTGCATCTTGTAACTCATTGTGCATGCAGACACACTGAAACACCTTATGGTAAATACTATCTACGTACAGAGTAATTGGCAACTCAGGAAGCCAGGGCTTCCAACATCCGCTTTGACTCGTGGGTGTTTTCAGAATTCTTGGTCCGGTTTCATACTGTTGGAACCCGTGAAGGTGCAGAATAATATTTTGCTGACTACATACAGTATTTTCTAAATATAATTGTTGCTAACCTTTGTTTCCTTGGATTAATGTGTAACAATTTGACTTCCTAACTTGAAATGTTTAAATTTATGGTTAACAGTTACAAAAACAAAAGACAATTACCAAGAAAACATTATAAGAATTATATTACTTGTTTCAATGTGGTCCGGCATATACAGTACAGTACAAAGAAAAAGGTGAACTCCAAAAGGTACTGTGATATCCCCGTTAGCTGGAACAATTGAGGCAGAGCCACTCCGGGGATGAGAGATTTCCGGGTATCAAGATGCCTCAATCAAACCCGGAAAAATCCCACATCCCCGGAATGTTTCCGGGTGTTGGAAAAGTTATCTGAGAGTCTAAACCAGGGGTACTCAATTACTATATATGAAGGTCCAGGAATTTTTTGTATTCATGTGGTAAAAAATCATCATACATTCTACTCTTGTTGAAGGAGGAGAAATGATGAGCGAAAAGAAATAAACTAAATCTCTGTAGCACACAAAAAAATATTGCAATTGTAGAATGTACAGTCTGGTTCAAAAGTAATTATTCATCCCTCTTTGTTGAATAGGAAAGGGGGGATGGTTAGTTTTGACCCTGAGTGTACATGTAATTGTGACTGTGGGCCTTGAATTGAGTGATTAATCATCATTAGTGTGAAAAGTGACACTTCGTGCTTCTTGCCAATTCCCTGAATTTTGGTACAAATGATGTGATAGCTAGTCTAAGACAATGATGAAGGTGTTCATTGGTTATGCTGGAGTGGTATTTGTTCTACACTAAATTCGTGGCGGAGAAAGTCAAACACTGTGAGGATATGCAATGAGACTCTGAAGATGAGGGAACTAGCTTGAGACACCTTCTGTGTCCAGAATGTGACAGAATCACAGTTATCAAGGCCACATTTTCTTGGAGATCATTTAGTTCCATTTGGATTAATGCTGCACATACCCATTTAAATGTCTGTTTTCCTTCTGAAAGTTTGGAGATGTTTGTGACCAAGGAGTTCTGAGTGAAGAGCAGTAGCTGTCTTCCATGAGAGATATCATCAAAATGATCCTTCAAATCATTAGTAAGTTTCTTGATGAACTGAACATGCATATGGTTATGATATTTCCTTCCTTTGGTGTGCTCCAAAAGTTTGGGGAAGTGGAGAAGTACTCCCTGGAGATTGTGCTTCAAAAGTTCCAGTTTCTTTTGGGAAGCTCGAACAGTTGATATCAGATCACACACTGTTTCCTCCTTACAGTTTGACATTGTGAGCATTGAGATGAGATGTAATATCTGCTAAAAATGCCACAATTTCCATTTTCTTTTTAAATTGCAAAAACTCTTATAACTGGTTTGCCTTGGCACTCGTTTCATCTTTGATGAAATTTTATATCTCTTTCCTAATGGCCAAAAATTGCTCCATAACCTTGCCCTTACTAAGCCATCTCACATTGTTGTGCTAGAGTAAATCATCATACCTGGCTCTGACTTCTGTCTAAAAGCCACGAAGTAGGCGATGCTGTAGTGATGATGCTGCTCCTCGCCAGAAGTTGACAAGTTTCATCAACTTCTCCATGACCTCAACATACTGAGGTCCACATCAAACCTAATCATGGTCCAGATTCGGACCGCCAGTTGAGTACCTCTGGTCTAAACCATGCATATCATCTCGACTCTAAACTACGCATCTCTTCAACTCGGTCTTACATGGGTAAGCACCTTCCCATTACATTTAGACCGTGGGCACGAGGAAAAATCTTTACAGCTAACAAAAATGTGTACAGTACAGCATGCCCTTAAAATTTGCGAACCTCAGTTATTCGTGGATGACACCCTGCATGTACCCAAGAATGTCTAAGGGTAGTTTTAAAGTTGCTGACATTTTTGCGGCTGGGACAGGGAGCCATTCGTTCTAGAGACAGTAATTTCTTTGATAATGTATTCTTTTTAGCACACCCTCAAATTTTTTCATGAGATGTTTGATTTCTGATGTATTTTGATGTGTTTTGTTCAGATCTGACCTTCATTTCCATAGGAAATGCGTTTTTTTTTTTTTTTTTAGATGCAAGTCATCTTTGATAAAAAACGGCTATTTTCCTTCAAAAACGAAGGCGAGATCTTAACAAAATACATCAGAAACCAAACCTCTAGACCCCTAAATTTCACTAAATTAACCTACCTTAACCTAACCTCACCTAACACCTGCAGGCAATGACACACCTCACGACTCCAGACAGCTAGCAGAGGGACAAGAAATGGCGGGTGGAGATTTATTGATCTAATTTTTTAGGCGTTCCTCACTTGTGCGATTTTTCTGAAAGAAGCATGTTTCCAAGAGGCTTCAAAGGTTAAGGAATGTATATATGAGGTAGAAATTGCCTAAAAGTAAGTGCTTCTATGCGATTTGAAGATGTGCTAAACCGAATAATAACCATTTCTTTTACTTGTATAATATATGTGTGTGTGTGTGTGCAAATAATAATAATAATTAATGGTTTATTAAGAAAACATGGCAGCCCGAAGGCTGAAAATATACAACGAAGAGAGATAAGTTACATATGGTGAAATCGGGGAGTGGGTCACTTGATTGACAATAGCTTTCAATACAGAAACATAAAGATTAACTTTAGGTCTGGTACTGTGGGAGCTGGTCTGTTGACATTCTTGTGACCTGATGTCGACGCCAACAAAGTCCTTCCCACTGTCTTGATGGCCGTTGTCCCTGACTGCTAAGCCGCTACCTCACTACAGCTGCAGATGTACCACGTGGTCTGGGTAGGTCCTCCAGCTCACACAGGGTGTTGGAGATGGTTCTTGTTCCTCATTTGATGTAGTTAAGAAATCACAGTTCCTCACCTGGGTGGAGTAAGGAGTCCTCATTACTATCCTGGTGTAGTTTGGAGTGTGTTACGAACCACGCCATCAATTGTCATGATCTACCTACCCAGCACTACGAACCACGCCATCTATTGTCATGATCTACCTACCCAGCACCACGAGCAACGCCATCTAGGGACGAAACACGAGTATGACTAGTCTTAGTTACCACTCCGGGGTTCCCTTCTCCATATCCTGGTTGTTGCGTCACCTCCTCCAAGTCTTCCTCATCAGCTCCAGATCGAGGAGAGTTCAGTTCACTCTGGGAAGTGACCACACTAGGATCTCCTATCCTGGAAACCTACGGCACAGTGACTACCTACCATCTTCTTCAATACTCAGCCTTACTCGTCAGCCATCTCAGCACTGCACTTGAGTATTTTGTAATCTTATATTGCCTCCCACCTCCACTTGCTTCTGTTTGTTGTATGTTGTATAAATACAGTATGTATATACTGTTAAGCCAATGTTGCGTATGTTTAGGTTAAGTATGGTTAAGGGTAAATTATAGAAAGCTGAATATTTTGTTGAGGATTTTATGGTACTTTATTATACACAACAAAAACTCGCATCCTTTGTCTACCCTTTTATAGTCCGATTGTCTTTGTTTTTTTATTGTTGTTGCCTGTTGGGATCTGGGTAGACTTTTAACTATATTCTAAATCCCCAACTCGTAACAAGTGTTTGTTGGATTCTCATCCAGTGTTGGGGATGGCTAGTGTACCTCGGGCTGGGTGCGTCTGGTCAAGGTGTCGGGTCAACATTGGCTGCTAAATACTGATTGTCGCTCTTTCAGTTGTTTCTTCCTTTCGAGTTGGAATTGTCACTTTTGTACATCAGTTGTGGGTTGATCATCAATATTTGCACTGTACTGTTGGTGGGAGGAGTTGATAAATCCAGATGGGTAGGAAGAGATGGAGAAAGGGAAGGCCCGACAAACCAGGCTGGCAGCTGTCTCCATGGTCAAGAGACCACGGCCGTGTTAGCAGGCAGCGCCGACTATACATGTCCTTACCCTATGAAGGCTGAAGGAAGTCTGTGTGTGTGGACACACATATACAAATATATAATAATGGGATAATCCTCCCACAAATAATCAGAAACAAGACAGCAAAATGTAAAAAAATTTTCGGGTCTACCCCCGAGTCAACTCCATGCTTTGTTATAACTTAAATAACAAATCACCGAGTTGACTTGAGGGTAGACTCACATTATTAATACATTTTTGTTTTGTTTCTGATTATTTGTGAGAGATTATCCCATTATTGTTTATTTGTATGTGTTTTGTGTATACACACACACACATACATATATACAATACAGGTAAAAGAAATAATTGTCCTAAGGGCAGATGGAATATACATTACATTTCTTTGCTCATGAGTAAAAATGTCCCCCCTCTGGTCCGCAAATGTTATTTGCGGATTTGGCTATTTGCAGCCATAGTGAGAACCTAACTCCTGCGAATTTTAAGGGCATGCTGTATAAACTTTTATTTGCATTAGGTAAAATAATGGACAATCAAAGACAAAAGTCGTGTTGCGGTTTTGTCCGAAGATTAAATATAACTACCACAAGGCAGAGCGCACCAAAGTTTAGCCCTACGGCATATGTTTTCACCAAATTTCACGACACGACTTTTGTCTTTCATTGTACATACTGTACATACATACATACCTTGTACAGTAATTTGTTATCTTTAAGAGTAATTTCTGCTGTGCATTCAAGTGTCTTCATTCTCACTTAGGTGGACACTTCTGGTTTCCAATGTCATCAAAGGTAAAATGTCTTGATGAACAAACCATCAAGCTACTCAAGGTTGGATCATGGGCTACAAGTGCAGGACATGCTGATTGGTACACAATTCAGACTGTCAGTCCCAACTATGGTGGTGACTTTTCCAATCTCGCCTGCTTCCTTGTTTTTAAGGTGTGTAAATATATGGAGGTCTAAATCAATAAAGGATATATCACAGTAGATTTGGGAAGATATTGTACAGTATTACATAAAATCAGAGGAGTTTCATGAATGTTAAGGGATGAGGAATTATTCAAGAGAAGTAAGATTAGAGAAACGACTGAATCCATTTTGCTTTCCACAGGATGAAGTACGCGCTAACACAGATGACTGGAAGGCACTGGGGATGCATGGCAACATGTCAGGCCCACTGGTTATTGAGGGCAAGTTTAACCTGGACAGAATGATTGGCCCACCTGGTGATGGTGGTTTGGTAGGTTATAATGCTGTTTGTGTAGTGCAGTACAGTAAACCCTTGCCATTCACAAGGGTAGGTTCCAAGAAATGGCGTGAATTGAGAAAACCGCGAATAGCATCTTGTATAATACCTTAGTGCACTATACTGTGTATGAGAAACAGTCACCAATACTTAGATTTGTATGTAGAAGTTTGGAGCTTGATGAAGTGGTGCACTGTGCATAGGGAGACATCTGAGGTGGGTTCATCAGGATCACAGTTGGAAGAGGGTGATGCAGTGGTGGTTGGTGGAGAGACGGGTGGCTGGGAGGAGGAGGGTGGAGCGGTGGCAGTAGCAGCTGGTTCTTTCTTGAAAGACATCGTGATTGGTAGTTGTTTCTTCTTTGCTTTGAGGTCTTTAAACATTTCCTGGTAGGGAAACAATATCTGGTTGATTTCTTGAACCATTTTAAGGCTCCGTTCCATGGAAGGGTCGTGGTCAACAATGAAATCGGTTACTTCTTTACCTGTAGAAATAGTTCAATAAAATTGTCCAAGCTCCAACCTTCTTGTTGCAATTCCATAATTTCTTCATCTTTTTTGGCACCTTTTACCAACTCTTCCAAATTCTCTTCTGTCAGTTCCTCTCCATGCCCATCAATCTGCTCTTACACATCTTCAGCAGCCATGTCCACAAACCCCTCACCACCCAACTGACGTGCAACACTGACATTCACATCCTTACTATGGACGGAAATCCCTGGAAGTTATTCACACACTCGGGTCATCAGGTTTGCCAACAAACATTCACGGTCTCTGGTTTGAGTTTATCGAATGCTTCACTGATGTTGGTAATGCAGTCTGCAATGGTGTACTCCTTCCAACACTTGCTAACATCAAGGTCAGGGTCTGCATCCATGGCACTACGGCTACGAGCATTGGGTGTAATATGCCTTGAAGGTGTATATTACACCCTGATCGAGAGGCTGAATAAGAGCAGTGGTGTTAGGGGGTAGGAACAACACCACTACTCCTGAATGGCTAAACTGCAAACCTTCTGGGTGGCCTGGTGCCTTGTCTATCAATAATAACACTTTTAATTTCTTCTTCTTGGAAGCAAGGTATTTTTCCACTTCTGGGACAAAGTATTTATGGAACCAATCCAGAATGCTTGTATAGTTACCCATGTCTTTTTGTTAGACTGCCAAATAACTGGCAACAGGCTCTCGTTTTTTCCCTTTAAAGCCCTCGGGTTTATGAGCGGTAAAGCAAGCCAGGTTTGATCATGTGGCCCGCCGCATTGCCACAGAAGATGAGCGTCACTCTGTCTTTGGGTGCCTTGAACCCAGGGGCACACCTCTCCTGCTTGTTTATGTACGTTTTATCAGGCATTTTCTTTCAATATAGACCAGATTCATTGGTATTAAACATTTGCTCTGGTCTATAGCTTTTCTCCTCTATTATTTTCTTTAACTTGGCGGGACAGGCATCTGTGGCTGTGTGGTCAGCTGATGCGGCCTCCCCAGTCAGCTTCACATTTTGGAGAGAAAATCTTTTCTTAAAATTCTTGAACCAACCTTTACTGGCAATAAAAGCTGGTTCAGTAGCCACACTAGCCCCTTCACCACCTGTTGACTTGTAAAAATGAGCATAAAGACTTTGACGCCTGGAGTTTTAAACACCCTTTTCTGTTGAAGAGGGTTGTCGTGTTTCAACCCGAGTTTTAAAAAAAATTAGTCCTGAAGGACACCGCAGTACAGTTCTTGACTGGGTGGTGTGGTGGTAAAATTAACTAATTCCAATATTATAAATTAATTTTATTGGAATTAGTTAATTTTACCGCCACACCACCCCGTCAAGTACAGTACTGTACTGTGGTGTATCTACCTGTGCCAGTGTTGGTCAAGTCTGGTCTTGAATGAGCTCACATTCCCAACAAGAACTGAGGCAGATATATTTAAAGGAATGATCAATAGAACTATGGTGGGCAGTACAGTATCAAATTACTAAAGGAATAATACTCCAATACAGCTATTTAACCTTATTGATTAAGAATTACTGCCCAAGTAAAGTTTTTATTATAGCCATGAACGGTTGGGATGGTGCTGACTGTTAGTTTGGGCTTTGTATAATGTATAATTTGAAAACTATTCATTGCTATTGTTTTATCATAAAAGAGAGTTTTAACACATTTCTCTCTTCTGGTTCTATTTTATACAAAGAGTAAGTATATTTACAAATTCCTCAGAGTAATGATGAGTGTGTTGACCCATTCTTCCTCCTGTGTACCTCTTCCGTCTGGAATGGCATCTCACTAGCCTGTCTGGATATAGCCAAGAAACATGTCACTCGTAAGGCTCACGCTGATGTAGGAATGAGAGTGTGTGACTACCCAACCATTCAGGTGAGTTGAGTTTGTGTATACTGTATGAGAATACAGCAAGAACTTTTTTGTCCATATCAAAGAAATTGTTAGCTATAATTCTGCATTACTGTGTTCAAAGGCTTGCTCATACAAATGACTTTGTAGTTTGTTTAAATTATTGATAACTATGTAACATTTTAATACCCTCAAATAGTTACAGGAATGTCCACCTGCCTATCTCACAAAGTTCTGTTAATTTTTTCTTTACTTTATCCACTTCACCACTAATCAGGCTGTTAGCCACTTGGGTGGGCAGTAACATGGTATGCATTGTTGGCATGTGCTGGGCATTCCTTGGCTCCAGAATGTATCTGACTTTGAGCCAGTGTTGGTCAAGTCTGATCTTGAATTCTCTCACACTGGGTGTCATCACAACATTATCTGGGAGATTGTTCCAAGATTTTATAACTTGCCCCAAAAAGTTTGCCATGACAATTTTCTGAACTTATGACTTCTTCAAACTGAGGTTGTGACCTATAGTGGGATGGGCATCAGCTAGTTCCAGGTATGAACACTCAACTGACCACAGGATTGTGCTCTGAGGTGCTTTTCTATGTACTGTATATTAAGTTGTCCGGTCCCATGTCCATCCATAATATGAGCTCGGCAACTGCAGGCATTCTAATCTCTTTGGGTTGCCTTCTTTTGGACATTTTCAATCAATTTCCAGTCTTGAAGGTATCTCGGGGACTAGATGGGATGACAGCGCTCCAAAGTGGGAAGTAACTTTCATTGTAAGAGCTTTATGAAGGATGGACCATTATGTCAGTGAACACCCTTGTTATAAAACTACACTAAACCTTCGTTAATTTGACAAAAAGGGGATTCTGGGTCACTCGAATTACCGAAAAATACGACTTAACCGAGTTTGGAATATTTGCCATTGTTCGACAATTTCCGAATTTTTGTGATCGATTATTTGTTCATTTTCTTTTTGGTTTTTGCACCTTGTCTTGGCTGCCACTTAAAGTGATCTGTTTATAATTACTGTGCAAGCATAAATATTTCCTTAATGTGCATACTTTGTGAGGAAACCATAGGAGACCATGGACGATAAATTTTGGTATATGAGGGCTGTCACTAGTTACACGTAAAATTTGGGAGCATATCGACCCCCACATGCACAGATAGTTGTTTTAGCTACCCCCTGCCTGTCACGTGGGAGACGGGTTCGATTCCCCGCCGGGGAGTTTAGTTTTTATAACATTCGTATGTTTTACTGCGCATACAGTAATAATAAAGTAAATAATACAGTAATAAATACCCTAAATGTAACTCTGCAAGGTGAGCTGACGGATGAGGTGACTATGTGTGAGGTGAGGTGAGGTGATGAGGCAGGAGTTCAGTTGATGTGACAAGGCACTTACACAGCACACACATTCGCAGCTCTACTAAACTATTGTCTTATAACATTTTAATTTCTAATTTCTTTTTTAAAATTAATTGATACCTGATAGCTCGGTTAGGTTACTTTTGCACTTAACAACTGATCAGTGGATAAACCAGGGCATATCGAGACACGTTACACACTACAGTAATATTAAGTTACGATAAATACGAGTGTAACGAAGCGTGTTGGCATTTGGGCCTTCATTGTTGAGTGTCAGAAATTGGACAGTGAATGCATAAGAGCATCAAGGTCTTTTTAATGATGTGAATGTGTCAATCGATGTAGCAATTTTAATGTTAATCGTGATTATATATTGAAATATTCTCCGTACTTGACTGGAGCTATAGGCTGCGGGGATACAACCATAAAACTATTGCTATTTGCCAAGATTTATTAAAAAATAATTTAAATGAGGCGTGTTCACTGCTGTGATTGACCGTCCAAAGGACAGAGTGTAGTACTGTGCCTTCAGCTAGGACAATCCATAGTGATAACAGTGATGGCTGTGGAAACTTAAAAATCAATTGAAGTGGGGAAAAAAATAGGGCAAGCAACAGTCATGAGTGCCTGGAAGTAACCAAGACACAGATGCCTGCCCCACTAGAGGTCACAGCTCAAGGTTGAAGAAGCCACAAATCCAGAAAATTGTGAGGGCTAACTTTCTTGGGGTGAGAATTGTAGACTTTGGAATAATTTACCGGAGATTGTTGTGATAGCAACGAGTGTGAGCACTTTCAAAACCAGACTTAACCAGCATTGGCATAGGTGCCGATAATCCTGGAGCCAGTACATGCCCAGTAATTTCCAACTGTGCTTAACAGATATGTAAACAACTGTCCAAGCAGTTAATGAGCTGATCAGTACTTCGAGGATAAAAATAAAAAGAGAGTAAAGTGAAGTACAGGGACGAACACCCACCAATACAATCGAGGTCCCATAAGGTCAATTAATTTAAGAATCCGACATAAGTACAACTGGTTCGTAGAATTTACGTGCGAGAACTAGTTTGCGTGGCGTAGAGGCGGGTGGGGAGTGATGCGTCGCCCAGCCACACGCCTTGAGGGAGCATCAGTATGGTTTACCCTCACTGCATTAACGTGCGTGATCAAGTGCAAACTGTTGTTTTTTGCTTATTTACTCTTTTTTCTACTGCCATCATATCTCTCAAATGCAAACCTGATGCAAGTGATAGTGCATCCAAGAAAAGGGAAACAATTGCAATGGAAATGAATGTTGTTGTAATTAACATTCTGAAATACCGTATATCTCGGCTTATAAGACGGAATTTGAACATTAAAAAAATCTGCCCAAAGTTAGGGGGTCGTCTAAATCACCAGGTATAAAATTCTTACCTCTTAAATATTGTGGTTTAGTGTGTCAAGAGTGGTGATGGAAACATCGTAAGCCACTCACAAGGTCTTGCCACTAATTATTTTATACTGAAACTTACGTTTGGCAAGCTGGATTCAAATTAAGATTACCGGTATATTAAAATAATAAAAATGTATTATAAACCTGTCTAACATACCGTAAAAGAGAATTATACCCTTGTAATAAACACAGCTATCATCACACACCCCTCCCCACGCCCCCCCCTCCCCCCCATTTGCCAGTGAGGAGACAAGAATGGGAAAGTGACTGCGAGATTGGGCTATTTTTAGCCGTGGAGGTGGTCAGTAATGCATATCGGTATATTTACTGATAATACTTAGGTATCTCCTATAAATAATTAATTTAAAATTTATTTTTTTACAAGGAATATTCAGTAAATGACTGCATTAATTCTTGAAACTACTGACAGTTAAATACAGACGCTTAAGTGACGTCACTAGTGTTTACACTACACCAGCTGGTAACATTTGATGCCATTACTTAAAGTGAATTGGCCTTATTTTAAGTAACTAACCATAAATAAATACAAAAAGTAAAAAAAAAGATCAAAAGTGAGAAATAATATACTGTATGTATGTTCTGTTGTCAAAGTTAGAGGAACAATTCAAACTGCAATTGTGTGTAAATGAGGCAGAAAGTCAGGTCAGCGATGAACCTGGGACTTGGTCACAATTTTCGTGATGCCATATGGCAGCAGGGTCTACCATTAGACAACACATTATGCTTCCAATATCTTCCCAGGCGGTAGTATCTACCTGTTTGGTAGCTGCCTACTACCTACACAATTTTTAGTAATATTACTTTGATACATGATAAATTAGACAATGAAAATAAACATCAAATTTAATTACCAAGACGCTTCCCATTGGCAGATGTAAGAAGAGGGGGAGATGGGCTATTTTTATCCCGTCTTTGTGTCTGAAGTGGCCAGTAATACCATATATTTACTGATCATAATACTTATCTCCTAAAAATAATTAATTTAAAATTTATTTTTTACATAGAATATTCAGTAAATGACTTTTAAATAAATAAACAAATAATTCGGTAAATCTATTTCAAGTAAATGGAAAATAAGCAAACAAATGTTATTTACCACCACCCTTCCCTCTGGCTCAGGGTGAGATGGAGGAGATAAAGAAGGCTATTTATAGCCAGTCTTTGTGTCTGAAGTGGCCAGTACCCTAATGCACCATAAATAATTCATTTAACATTTATTTTTTGTACATATATTTTGTTGTATATATATATAATATATATATATATATATATATATATATATATATATATATATATATATATATATATATATATATATATATATATATATATATATATATATATATATATATATATATACACAGTTGTGCCCCATACTTGTGATTAATGGGGCAGAGGGGTCAGCGTTAAGTGAAATCATGATTAAGTGAACAACAGAACATATATGGGATTAATTCCAATAGAAACCCGGCCCGACCCCCAAACTCCACTTTTTGAAGGCCACATAACTATGTTGTAGTAGTAAAAATAACATCTTAAATTTTATGATGGTACATGCACACAATTAATACTTAGAGAAATAAGAAATACAGTCCTTGATTAATCCCATTCAAATAATGGACCAACTCCCTCCCCCTCTTCTCCACACTACACTGCTGGCTCTTCCCTCTCTGAAAATTTTTTGAGAAAACCACTAAATTTAATAAATAATACCTCAAACTAAAGTTGGGATAATACAATTGGTGTTGCTGGATTCTTGTAAGACCAGGAATATTTTGAATATAAATGTATATATTTTTAAAAAAATAACATAGTTACTCAGAAAACATTTTATCTAAAATTTGTATGTCTAATGAAAATATATGATGTTTATATTCAAAATGATCGCAAATTATAAAATTCCCAGCAATGTATGAAATTATATTCTATTTGGGTAATTTGTGAATTTTATGAAGCTAAAACAAATATCTTCAGTTAATAAAAAAAATGTTCTTCTTGATACTATCTGTCCAATCAAAGTACCCACCTTGCCTCCCCCCTCTTCCAACCACGCGGTCAGTCAACCCTCCCCCACCCCCCACCAATCCTCTAAATATTAACCCGAAACCAATTTGTATGAATTTTTATGACTAAAACAGGCAGTCAGGCAGGGGTGGCGGGTGAGAAATCTAAAATAGCGTCTCGGCCGGACCACTCA